GGGCCTCATGACTGCCCCGTGCCATATCCTACTGTGACTGAGCTGGTATCCAAGATGCAAAACAAATTCCTCTTTACTCTTTGCTCTCCTCTTCATAAGCAGAGGGAGGGAGTCACTTTTGTTGCTTCAAGCTGTGCTGCCTGGGGTTGGGGGAAGGATGGCAAAAGCACTCCCTTAGACTCCCTGGCTGGTGTCTCCCTAGGTCATGTACCACCCTAGTAGAGTGGCTCTAAGCCCAGCCCAGCACTAGGAGTTGCCTAGGAACTGCAATCCTTGGGTCGCAGACAGCCTTTCAAGTTTACCTAGAACCCCAGAGCACTTTGGCCTATGGTGGTGAGGCTTGCCAAAAACTCAAGTTCTGACTGTTGGGTTGGGCCATTGCCCTCTGGCTGCGTATGGTCCAAATGTTCACTTCATGCATGGGTGCTGGCTGAGCCAGCATGGCTTTGTTCTCCACTGTGACATGGCAGCACTGAGTTTAATAGAAAGACCCCTAGTCACTGCACTCTCCCTCCCCCAAGTGCAGAGACTCTTTGTGTAGCATGGCTGCTGCTAGGTTATGGGGGAGGGGTGGTATTGGTGATTTAAAACTGTCTCTCCTACTCTCTTCAATGATATAAATGTAAAACCAGGTACTCTGATTTTTGGTTCTTGTGATGGTGCTTTCCAGTATGAAGACAGTTGTTAAAATTTGGTGTTCCTGTTGGGGGTTATCAATGGTATAGGCTTCTATTCCACCATCTTGCTCTGCTCTCCAAAACACTTCAAATATTAAACATTGAAATACATATGAGTTATATATACATTTAAGAAAGATTAATAAAACAAATAAGGTAATTATTTACCCAATTATTTCAGTTCTGGGTTGTAGGTAGCCTGAGCCTATCTGGCATCTCAGCACTCAATGCAGGAATCACCTTGGACAGGATGCCATACCATCACAGGATACACACAGTCACTCACACTGGGACAATTTAGACATACTAATTAACCCAACATACACAACTTAGGGATATGAGAGGAAACAGAACTCCTGGAGAAAACCCATGTAGACACAGGGAGAATGTGCAAACTCAATACAGACAGTGGCCCCACCAGTAATTGATTTTTGTTTTTGTTTTCTCATCGTTTAATGAAATGATGTATTCGAGGACCTAATATACAATGCTTTTTGTCAGTCACCAATATGCATGCCATCAAAATCCAAAGCACAGGATCAACTAAAATTTCTCAAATGCATGGAAACAACCACCTCAACACTGTTATCTTTTAATTTCAGATGGTTACCTTGGCTCAAAATCTGTGTGTGCAATTTTATCTGCTCTAGGCAGTGCTCAATATTGAGCACTTCTTACAACAATTAGAACTTATTCCCATTCAGATAATGTTGTCCTGGTTAACCCCTTTGTGGTTTTTGGAGATGTAGGTTCATTTTTAAAACTTTTTTTTTTTTGAGACAGGTTCTGCTTTGTCCACCAGGCTGGAGTGCAGTGGCGTGATTACAGTTCACTGCAGCTTCGATCTCCTGGGCTCAAGCCATCCTCCCGCCCCAGCTGCCTGAGTATCAGGTACCACAGGTGTGTGCCACTGCACCCAGCTAATGTTTTATTTTCTGTTAAGACAGGGTCTCACTATGTGGTTCCGCTTGGTCTTGAACTCCTGGGCTCATGCAATTTTCCTGCCTCAGCCTCCCCAAATGTTGGGATTACAGGTATGAGCTGCGCCAGATCATTAAACTTCTTAAAATCCCTTAATTCCTCTTTGTTTTATAGGAAAGTAGAAGCTTGGATTTTAGTTTGATCATAGGAAGCGAGTAGATTGTTATTCAACAAAAAATATTTATGATAAACATTTTTCAGGTTATCCATTTATTTAACAGGTCTTTGTTACATATTTACTGCAGTCAAGTATTCTGGGGCCAGAGGTGAATTATGATAGTTATAGTTTGGAAACTAGATGAAATATTCTTTTAAATGGGTACATTCATATATCAAAACAAATCCTGTAGTTTATATAATTTGGAATATGGTATGTCTGTTTTCCATGGAAATGATGAAGTTCAGAGTCGACTCTTGGTCATGGGACTCACACTCACTTTGCTCTTACCCCTTTCTTATTTTCACATGCACCCCATCCACACTCACATCTAATCCGGAAGACTGGTAGTATGTAAGAGATCCCAAATATCACCATTGGCTCTTTTATTTTTAAAGAAGTTTCTTTTAAGTATGACACAGTCTCTCCATTCATCTGAGCCAAGTCTGTCATACTTGAAAGAAACTTCTTTAAAAATAAAAATTAAGAGTATAAGTTCTCTCATTTCATCTTCTCAGTTTCATAAAATATTTCATGTTTAGAATGTTAGCAAGTGTGAAAGAGGCTACAGAATTTTGTGAGTGATAAAATATTTGTAGAGTACTTGGGGATCTGGGTGCTATTAAAACCAACCAAACACAAGTAGCTCATATGTATTCTTGCTTCCAAGTTTTATTCTTCCAGCACTGCTAAAACATGAGCTAGGCAGATTTATAGCAATACTGGTAGATGTTTGTTAGGCACTAATTTCAAACAACACTCTTGGCAATAAAACTATATTTCTCTACACTTGACATTTAGCATGTCCTTTATCCTGTAGGAAGAAAAATACTTCTGTTGTTCTGTTGGAGTATGTTAGCTTATAAAAATAAAGTGATGGCCGGGTGCAGTGGCTCATGCCTGTAATCCCAGCACTTTGGGAGGCTGAGGCAGGTGGATTACGAGGTCAGGAGTTCGAGACCAGCCTAGCTAAGATGTTGAAACCCCATCTCTACTAAAAATACAAAAATTAGCTGGGTGTGGTGGCAGGTGCCTGTAATCCAGGACTCAGGAGGCTGAGGCAGAAGAATGACTTAAACCCGGGAGGCGGAGGTTGCAGTGAGCTGAGATTGCACCACTGCACTCAACCCTGGGTGACAGGGAGTCTTTGAGAGCAAGACTCCATCTCAAAAAAAAAAAAAAAAAAAAAAATTAAAGTATGCATCTTTATATGTTTTTAACATGTCCAACTTTGCCAGCCATGGTGGTGCATGCCTCTAATCCCAAGCACTTTGGGAGGCCGAGGTGGGAGGATCTCTTGAGCTCAGGAGTTCAAGATTGCAGTGTACTATAATGGCACCATTGCACTGTAGCCTGAGTGACAGTGACTCTGTCTCTTAAATTAGTAAGTAAATAAAATGTTCAGCTTAAGATAAAATGACAGTTTATTTTCTAGCAGCTAGGTGAAATTCCTTAACTATTAACCTCTGGTACTTTAAACAATATTAGAATAGCCTTTAAAAGAAGACATTAATTGAGGAACGATTTTAAAAATAATTTTTTCCAAGTTTTAATTTTTAAATCCCTAAAGAACCACATATTCTTTTACCATCCAGGTTTATAAAAATGCAGCTATCAAATTTGATATTAAAAACAAGATGCCTCACATCCTCTGTGGAATAAGGCACAGTATAAAAAAATTAGAGTATCATGACCATTCTTCAGTCTTTCCCATTTGTAATATTTCTCCTAAGTGGAGAAGCCTGACAAATTTCCCCTTCTTGCTCATGTGATCACTTTTTGCATCAGATGCATTTAATTTTGTAGGCTAAATATCCAGGACAAAAGGAGAGTAGAAATAATTTTTAGAGCTATGATTTCTATGGAAGCAATAAGAGGAAACTTGGACATAATGTTTCATTGACATCAATTTCATTGTAGCTCCCTAACAGTCCAGGCATTTGCTTGTTTCTCTGTATAATAATCTTATACTTTTATAGTGCTTATAATTTGCAACCTGTGTTCATTTACTTTACCAGATTCTTACAATCTTTTCAAAGAAGGGTAGTGTGTATGTGTGTATGAATATATATACATATATATGTATGTGTGTATATACAGATACATACATGTGTATGACATATATATGTATATAGTCATCCTTCAGTGTCCACAGGGGATTGGTTCCAGAACCCCCTCAGACATCAAAATTTGCAGTTTCTTATATAAAATGACGTCTTGGTCAATTCTTCTTGGTAAAGCTGATCTTGATCTTACCAGTTTCTTTTTTAGCTTAGTAACAGGAACAATGACTTTCATAATTTAGGCGACCAAAAGTAAAACTTCAGTTTAAGACATTTTAGGTATAAACCGTGGAGCTATAAATCTTTTGGAGGAGTTTTAGATTTGATGTCAATGCTAGAGTATTGCAATATATTAATACAATAGATAGGTCTGAAAAGTTGCTTTAGATGTTTCAGCTAAAGTGACCCAATATCAAATTCTGTACAGTTACCTTCTATTTTGTAAATGCATAGGTTAATATCAAAGTGTTTATATTGTGTAATTTCCTACCTTAGATGCTTTTTAAAAAAATATAATACTGTTGTTTCAAGGTTGAATATGCACAGTAATAACCATTACAAATTGATGACATTGAACAAGAGAGAGCACATTCATTGTACAAATCATAGGCTATGTCACTGTGTAGACAAAAATTACTGACCGTGCAAGCCAGAGGTGGATCATAAATACTAACTCTTAAGACTAGAAATATACTTGATAGTGATTTTTACAGGTTCATCTTTAAAAGTGACCTCGCTGATTAAAGTTTAATATTTCTTAAAAGAAAGGTAAATCTAGAAAGCGGTCCAGAATGTTTGATCCTAGTCTAGTAAGACTTACTTGGGAACAAATATAGAAACACAGGCAACCCCGTCCGTTAATTTTGATGTTGAACGTGTGGTTAGAGAGCATACTGGGATATGTTACAGGATCTGAGGTGAAAAGCAAATTTAAGTTTCTAAGTGTTTATGGAGAAAAACACATCTAGCATTAATAAGCTTTTTTTTTTTTGATTTCTCTGAACGGTGATCACCAGCCAGCAGGTGAAGCTCTGCCCTCTAGTGGTTATGGGTGTGAGGGGACTTCTGTTCAACAACGTGTCTAGCTCACCAAGGTTTATTAAAACCAATCGTTCATTAAAAAGCATTTATTAGGGTTCTGGGTGAGATGCCAAGCAAGTGAAATGTGCAAGTGTGAAAAGCCATTGCCACTGGACAAAGATACGGGGGGGAAGAAGTGCTTGTTCTTTGGCTTCGGTCACTTTATGACTGGTTTCTAATTGTTGTTCCAGCCTCTCCCTAGTTCCACGAACTACAAACGAATGAAAAAGATTAGTTCTCCTTGGAGCTCTCTGAGGTTGACCCTTGCTCTCTCATTACACATGGTAACTGAAGCACACCCCTTACAGAATTTTGGGAGGTCGCCCCGCGATGACCGGCTCCCGCAAGAACCAGTCAGTGCCGGGGTTTGCAAGTGAGGGTGCGAGACTCGGGAGGCTGCTCACGGTGCTCCAGGCTAGAGCACGAACACCTCGTTCATTCCTTCCGCGGCCCTCACGTCGCCTGCTGAGATTGTGACTGCCGCCCCGATGGGAGCGGCTTCTCCTATCGAGTTTGTAGAGAGCGCTTAAACGCCTCGGGGACAGCGGCCATGACTGTGCCGGTGGGCTTCGGCCGACCTAGCGGCCGCCCTACGGGAATGCATGGCCAAATCTCCAACCCCTTACCCCAGGGACCGTGCCCGCCCGCTTGTACGCGTTCAGTGGGTGCGTACAAGCGGGCGGGCACGGTCCCTGGGGTAAGGGGGGGGAGCCAGCAAAACAGGGCGAGCCACTAACCCCGCCCGACCTCCTACCGGACTGCTTCGGACCCAAATATTGCAGATTCCCGGCCGAAGGCTCGGCCTTCACTTTACTTCCGCTTTCCCCGCCCGTGTGCACGAATGCGCCTGCGCGCACCTCTCGCAGCGGAAGTAGTAGCGACAAAGCTCGGTGCGCGGCAGGCCCAGGAGTGCGGGGCGCGACTGAGAGGCTGGCGGCGGGGAGGGGCGGAGCGCAGGAGTCGGAGGCGGGAGCAGACCTGCACGGCCTCGCGGAGCCCGCCCAACGGACCGTGACGGACCCCCTCACCTCCTCTCCTTTCCCCTCCCCGCCCGCCCTCTCTCCCTCCTCTCCCGCTCTCTTTTCACGGCGGGAGCGGGCTCCTGCCTCGCCCCGCCGCCCCGCGAGCAGCTCCTGGTCGCCCGAGGCGCGCGGGGCGCCCCCGCGAGCTGCGCGGCTGAGTCCCCCAGCCTGGAGGAGGGCTGTCTGGGGTGTTGGGTGGGTACCACCAGTATTACCCCCGTCCCCATTTCCAGAAACTTCCAGGTTCCGAAGGAAGGGAGGGCCCGGGGCTCCCCTGACTGGGGCGGGGGCGTCTCTAGGGCGCCGCCCCGCTGGCGTGAGCTGGGGACGTTGCGGGCACTCGACTGGGCGGCGCGGGATTTGGGGGAAGGGGCTCCCGAGATAGCGGCTGGGCGGGGAACTCCCTACTCAGCCTCTCTCTCGTCAGCGCCGCTTCTCCTGGTTTCTCTTGCAGATGCTGCTGCTAGGGGTGGTGGGAGCAGCCGTGGGACGCGTGGCCGGGAGCGGGGGTGACAGCCTGGGATTCCGGGGGCTTCTCTTCCTTGTCCTCCTCCTCTCCTCTCTATTCCCAGTGTGGCCGTGGCTGACACTAAAGACTTTGTAGCCATCAACCCGAGTGCAGTTTCGATGGAAAATGAAGGTAAAGGCCCCTGGCAGATCGGTTGCAACGCGGAGTTGAGGGTGTGGTGGTTTGCTTTTAAGTTGCCTTTGTTTTTCCACCTTTTTATTTTCGTGAGCTTATTTATTTACTTTGTATGTGAAGTGTCCAAGTATTTGCTTACTTAGGGTATCCCGCTTTTATTTTGGTATCGTGGGGCATTTGAGAGATTGAGGTTCGGTGGGTGACTGAGCTTGATTCAGCTTTCCTGAGGAATTCCTGCTTTCTTCAGCTTAGGGAATGGGAGGGAAGTTTTCATTTCAGATAGCGTCTATGAATGTTTAAATAGCGATTTGAAAGGAATTACCTCAGGGGAAGTGAAATAGGGTGCCAGGGGATGGGCTGCATCCCAGCCCTGTATATTGGCGTTTCAAGCCTCGATGTGGTATGTGGCTGGATTCATTTATAAGAAAGCAAGCCATGTTTTATTATCTATTAGCTTTGGGGGGAAAAGCTCATTGTGTTTCGCTTCACAAACAAAACTATGAATTTAATGAAATATGAGGTGAGTGCCTTGCTTAAAGTTCCACCCTATTTCAAAACATCATTTAGGAGGTTGACTGTGGAACCTGTTTGTCCACTGTACACTTTGGGCGCATTAGATCGTCATTCACGTGTTACATGATCCCTATTGCCTCATTAAAATATTTAATGCTTTTCCTACACGGCACTGATAATTTTTTCAGTTGTTCAACAATTCTGAATAAGTGATTTTTTTTTCCCTCCTCCTGAAACAATACGTATTCTTTGGACTGACTTCTGACTTGTGCGTGATCGTTTTTTTCTTCTTTCTTTAACCGGGCTGCAAAATGCTATAAAAGATACTCAACAAATGACAGTTTTTTCCTATTGTATAATTTGTTTTAAAAAATCTGTATCTGATATAAAGGAGCTGCAGTCTTGCTTGCTGGCTGCTTCTAATTTGATTTTCCATTGTTGAGAATGTGAGCTTGATTGTCTGACTAGGAATAGTAATTTTGAAATGGATGTTTCTTACAGATGCAGTAATCTGTTTTGCTGAGACCTCTGGGCTATGTAGGGAATATGATGAGAGGCATGATTATATTGCCCAATTTTACTCTGGATGGATAATTGGTGGAAGACATTTTCTGAAATACAAGTGTGTAACTGCAGAGGAGTTATACTGTCTAATTGGGTCTTGAGAAACATTTGAAAGCAGTAATGCTTTTGGTGGTATGGAAGGAAGATCACTTTTCTGAGCCTTTTTCCTCTTTAAGTTTATAGATTTAAGAAAGGCAAATCCATTCTGCACATGAGACAATATATACTTGTTTCTTGGTAGAAGCATCTTAACTTTTAAAATTTAATGTATGTTAAGAGCTTGTTTTTGGAATGGTACCAGATTTAAGGGAGTAGCCTAAAGTAGGTGGATTCTTATATGTTGCGTTTGTTTCTTGATAGGAGGAAGAGTATGAGTAATAAAGCTGATTCTCATTATCTACTGAGGTGGGAGGGGGTGGTGGTGGTAAGAGCATGGTGCCTGTTTGTGTTTATATTTGTGACCAAATACCAATTTTGTGGCTTCATAGTAAAATATTATACAGTTCTTAAAAACGTGTGGGGTTTTCTGTCCCGTTATTCTTGACCATCAAAAAACCATTTTTGTCAGGTTCTCACTATTATAACATGAGTTTTTCATAAACAGTTTAAAGAACCTGTAAATAGCCTAGAAATTTTCAAAAGTGATTGACCATCTTAAACTACATAGATTGATATCTGTGCCTTTTTATTGTTCACTTGCCTTTTTATAGTTCTCATCCTCCTTCGACATGGTGTAGTATTAATAATTTGGAGGTATGAAACAAAAATGGATTCAAGTCTTGACTTGGTTGTCTTGAACCAACACTTAAAGCTGTGTGATTTTAGGTAAACTGCTTCACCTTTCTGAGCCTGTATGTCTTCATCTGTAAATTGGGATCGATAATCTTTAACTCACAGAATTGAGGGGATTAAATGAGAAACCCTGTATAATTTCTCTTGGGACAGAGGAATAACATTTAAGAGCTTGGGTTGTAGTGGAACCATGCAACCTGATTTGAATGCTGGATTCATTGCTTACCATTTGGTTTTATGCGTATTAAAGTTTTCTTTGCTTCAGTTTCTTCATCTATAAAATAAAGAACCTACCTTATGAGGTTGTCGGAAACATTTCGAACAGTATCTGGCATATAGTAAGTCCTCAGTAAATGTTGATTATAAATAGCCCGGCTTAATATTTGATACATACTAATAGGCCACCTGGCATTAATATTGTCATGACAGTTAAATGTTGGAAGGGGAACAGTAGTGGCCAAAATGCTTTGTATGAAGTTGTCATTGTTAGTTAAGGATTGAGTTGAGTTAGGTAAGGAGTTTTCTATGGCATTAGTGCTTTTAAGCCTACGGAAAAAGTTAGGGCTCTACCAAGAAGCCAGGGTCCGGTATAGAAAGAGACAGGTTTGGATTTGACGCCTGACAGGTAATGTTTTCCTCTCCGAAAAATCTGACAAGTTACTAGGCTTATAAGCTTTCTTAGCTTCTAAGTTTTCTCACAAGTAAATAAGATAATGCGCTTTTGGAGGGTTGGTGTGAGTAATAAATGAAGCCACCCAAGCAATGATTGACCAGAGCAATGGTTGATGTACAGTTAACTTGGATGAGTGACTAAGTGATGCTGCCGTTCCCTAGTAAAAGAGAATCCTCCAGTAGTATGCAGATAAGGTACATTTGTAGCTATGAACAGTGTAGAATTGATAGTCATTCCCTAGAGCATCAGCATGAAGGTTCTTAGCTTACAGTGGTGTGGGGAGGGAATGGTTTCATCTATGTGGTTCCTTTAGCACATAGATGGTGGTATTTTCTTTGTCACTTCAGTTTCGATTCTTCTGGAATTTTTTCCCAGGGCCCATTTAAACTTTCTCAGGAAAGCTTGACCAATTTTTAGCTGTAGACTCCAGGATGTTCCATGAACATCTGTTTGTCACTAGGAACATTTAAAGTGTTAATTTCCTGGAATTTTTGGACTACTTCTAAACATTCAGTTGTGAGATAGGATTTTATCCAGACCCTTTGGAATTTCTTTTTACATGTTTATCACACATCTAAACAGATACCACTTAGGAATCTGAGGTGCACAAGTAAACAGCACTTACCTGATTTTTAAAATTTAATTGCACGTTTACAGTGATAGCTTGCTAGAGAAGATATTTCTAGCTGAAGAAGCTTGCAAATAGTTTTTCCTTTCTGGTAATGGATTTATTTTTTGGAATAAATTTGGCCTTTCCCATCGAAAATTCAGTGTGAATATAATACGTGAAACTTTAATATAGCCTTAAATGTTTGACTAGTGGATAGAAATGTAATAATCTTCAGGATTTTAGGATGTGGTTAATTTAAGATTATAGACAGCTAATAGGTGTAGAGAACAAGCCCCCAATCTTTCATTTGAAAATGGTTGTATTTACACTTTACTTTTAAAAATAGTTTCTTACTCAATTTCAAATTAATCAGCTAGGAATGTCTCAAGAATCTGTTACTATAGTTGGAGAAGCTATAGGAAAAAAGGGATGAGAAGCCATCTTAATTTTATTCCTTTAACTGAAAATAGGAAACCAGGTTATGAAAATACTTTGTATCTTTGGATGTGGGAAATATAGTTTATGTTGTTTTCAGTTTTGTCCATAAAATCATACTCTCAATTAGTACTCTAAAAAAGAGTTGAAACTAAATGAGATTTTATATATGACAACATTTTATAAACTAGTAATTTTAGCCAGAGGATGCTATAGAAAGTACTTGTATGCAATAGTCTTCTGACAGTTGGATTCCAAATACTTGATTGGTCTTCTTATTTTTGTCATTCATATAAAGTAAGCAGAATTTGGGTCTGTTAACCTGAAGCATTATGAAACAAAATGGTTTCCTAGGGAAC